TCGTCTCTTACAATGGGAGGGACTTGGCTCCCCCAGTCCTCATCTTGCGGTGTGGGAAGAGACACTGCCAGTGAAGACCGAGGCAAAGAAGTTGTTGAGTATCTCAGCCTTCTCCTCGTCTGTTGTAACCAGTTTTCTAGTCTTGCTCATCAGGGGGGTACGCTTTCTTTGACCTTCCTTTTCTGGCTGACATACCTGTAAAAGCCCTTCTTATTATTCTTTGCATCTCTTGCCAAGTTCAGCTCCAGCTGGTGCCTTGGCCTTCCTGACCCCATCCCTACACAACCAGACAACATCCCTATACTCGTCCCAGAATACCTGTGCGTTTCCTTCTCACCCTTTAGTTTGACTAGCAGGTCTTGACTCATCCACACCAGTCTCTTGCCTTCCTTTCCTGATTTCTTACACCTGGGTATTGAGAGCTCCTGCACTCTATGGAAAGCATCCTTAAAGATCTGCCAGGATAAAAAAGCATTAAAAAGGTGTTTGCTCCTCAAGCTAATGACCACCAACTTCAGCTAACTGCAGAATACGTAATCTCCCCAACTTGCACCAAGAACCTAAGTAAATTCAGTAAATGCAAAAGCGTGATCGGAATGTATATTTGACCAAAGTGGAAGATGACACATAAAAAGGAGAAGTTTGTCACAGCTGCTCAAGGACGTATCATAAAGGTACATCATGGTGGGGGAGCAGAGTAAGTTTGCACTGTACTCTGATGCCACTGATGGACTGCTTGTGGTACCTTGGTCTGCGTCAACTCAGTCTTCAATACACCACACTCTCTAGCACAGACAGACCTGCAAGATCTTTCTTCCTTCACCAATGTTGGTTCTTAAGCACTATGAGCAATAGTACATACACACAGCTGGCTTCGAAAACGTGCAGCACAGCAGTCAAGTTTTACACTGACTTTTCACTTGAAGAGCAGTTTGAACAGATATTGGCCCCCTTTCCTGTGTTTAACAAAACTGTTTCTTCCCTTCACTTATGTTGACAAGGAAGGAGCCCTCCAAAGATACGTGAATTAGGTGGATGGCAGTCCAACATCTAAACGCTTATTCCTGATGTAGTCCTCTCAAGGAGAAATAATTGTATATATGATCAGTTCAAATATATTCTCTTGAACCAACTCCACTATTTTCACTGAAAATAAAAACAAGAGAAAATTTTCTGCTGCAGCAAGCCAGAACTATCTACTTCAAGCAAACTGTATGAATGAAGCATTAAACAAAACCCAGAAATGAATGCCATACTTCTCCACATCAGCCCTAGTGGGGCTTACAACCAGGTGATTAGTTGATATTGTTAAGACTACTTTATGATACTCGAGCACTGTATCTCATCTCTTTTTTCACGATCAGATTAGGGAAGTCTTACAGCAACTTGGGTAACATCTACCAGAAGAAAATCAGATCAACACAATGTTTGCATTCTGCAAGGAAACACAGCATTTACACACCTCAACAGCTAACCTAACCACAGAAAATAAGCAGGTTTTTACTGCAAAGAACGCCTACAAATTCAAAGGCTCTATATTTACCAGGCCTTTGAGCTCCAGAACAAGCATGCTGTAGGCTGTTTTAAAAAACAAGGTGGGGTTTTTTTCCCCCTCAAGTTCTCAAGAGAACAATTAAACCCCCTGATATCTGAGGCTATCTTAAAGTTAACACAGATTCTGTAACTGGAACACAATCATTCTGTGACAGACACGCATGAGCCAGAATAAAATTCCAGGTAAACAAATATTCATTTCATGCAACAAATTAAGGTCACAGGCAACTAGAAGGAAAGAGGAGAGGGAGGCCAGACAAGAGAATAATGATACAATACTACTTCGTACATAACTTCCAAGATAACTGTGAAGTCACAGGACCATGCAATTTTTCAGTTTCTTTCATACTTTCTTTTCAGTTTCCAGTGTTATTACTAATCAACTTCAAAGTTTTAGTAAGGCTCATCGTATTTCTGACTATTACTCTAATACTCACCTAAAACACCGTATCAGTTATCAACAGCCTCCCAAACATCCACATTTTGACTTCTTTGCTGAGACCAGCATTAAAAAAACCCAAACCAAACCCAAACCTGAAACACCTCAGCTAAATGTTGTGGTTTGTAAAGCTGTCCGCTATGAGCGAGATTCTCACCTCAGCTTGCATCTCTGTCAAAAAACAGTGGGCTGAATTTTAAGCCAACACATAGGAAAGGTCTAGGCAATTCTAGAGGGCTGAAGCAGCATGAGACAAAAAAAGGACTACATCCTGCAATATTTATTGTTGATGTGTCATTTGGTAAGGAGCAAATGGAGCCAAATGGACGAACAGTCTCAGGCCGCACCACAAAGCAATATCGACAAATTATATCCTGTCCAACCACGTTACTTCTCTTCTCCATCAGGTTATTCCTGGCTCTAGATAAATGGAAACTCATCCCACCCATAAGCCAAATGGCTCTTGTCTCTACTAATCAACTTAGAACAACCCTTCTGTAAGAAGACAACACGTCACATTACTAAAAAGCGTTGGTGTTTTAAATATGGTAATTGTAACAACGGCGCAGACAGAGGAGAAATGATCCCAGAAAGGAAGGAGGATGAAGTCTTGACCAACAGAAAACATTGATCACAAGCAAGACTGATGAAAGGAAGACACAAACCAAGCAAAATTACTCAGCCTTTTGGAAGAAAACAAAAGCAGTGCTGAAAAAAGCAGTGAAAGGATGCAGAGTAAGGATAAAGTTAGAGGAAAGAACTTGTCCTGGACTTTCAGATGCTTCCAGACTGCAGTGCTTCCCTCGCTTTCCCTTCCTCGCTCAGCATCTCCTGAGAAAAGACCGTTTACGGTTTGAAACCTCCCATTTTGGTAAGCGCCCTTCCTCGGCGGCTTCTCCGGAGCCTGCGGGGCGGCTGCTCAGGCGGCCTTGCCCGGCCC